CTTTCTCCCCGAAAACTCTCACCATCCGGAGATGAATAGCTGCCGGTTTGTCACCTTGCGCTGTCAGAAATCGGATAACAATTCGCTGCTCCTCAGTCGTCGAATTTTGCAACGCGAACGCCATCTTGTCCTCATACGGACTGCCCCATCATTTGGACGCCGATTTTGATAAGAGCCTTTGCTCTCTCCTGCGCATGCGGGCGCCCGCGCATACTCCGATCCCAGTCAGAGACTCCAATAGCATCCCGAGATGTCTCGCTACGTTCTCCCATGGAGGAATATGCAAATATTTAACTGTTACATTTTTACATCGTTTCGTACCTTTTCATTTGATCACCCCTTGTAAAATTTCAACGTTCTACTGCTACTCGTTTTAGGCCCATCAGCGGCCGAGCGGTAAAGTCGCTAAACACTGGTAGTTCGGTCCGAGATTCGAATCCCGCGAACGGGCTGGCTGCATGGGTGTTTTCGTGGTTTTCCCCATGTGTAACGTGTATACGAGCCAGTTTTCCTTAGAAAGTCCTCTAAGAAGCCATCCCTCCCCTTAGACAGATAGCCCTAGTGTGCTTTGCCATAATTAAATACACCACCACGGCTACTCGTTTTTGAGTTATAGGAGATACATACATACTTACACGTACGTACAGATATCATGACAAAATCTCTTCTGAATCCATTTTAAATCCATTTTACTATCCGTTTTGGGAAAAGAAATCCTGTATATTGTCCGTAAATACAGATGTCACGCAGAAACATCATTTAAATTGATTCGAGGGCGGCCAAAATGGATATTTTCGTTAAAATATGATACCCGAAATTTTTCGCGATTAGAAAACTTCCTTTAATTCGTACAAGGAAGTAAAAAAATAAAACATTAATTTGAAGAATTTTCCTTTCAGATTTTCAGAAATACAGACAAAAAATTTTCGACATGATAGCGTTGAAATTTGTAATAATAATAATAATAGTGATGATGATATTCATCTTTTGCAAGCCCCATGTCTTTGTAAACTCCTCATTTAAGCGATTTTTCTCTATTTAATGAGACTTTTTTAAGATTACAAATTAGATTTCAAATCTTATTGTGCTTGCTGTGGTCTCTCGTTTTTGCTGACGTAGATGTATTTTGCTGTAATTTGACATGATAAAACGTCTGAAACCATTTTCCAACGTATAAAATGTACTTACAGATGATATTACGTTTGTTTTAGAGCCGAAACAAAATAATACTCTTAGTGAATAAAACCATAATACGTAAAGTATTTTTTCTAAATTCCTTTATCATGACATATTTCTATCTATAAGCTTAATGCAAAACTATTTCTGACTTTAGGTTTAATATTTGTACTCCAATAATAATAACAATGCTTCAAAATTTAAAAAAAAAATTAAAAAGTCTTTTTTCTATAATTTTTATTAAAACAACTTTAGGTTGCGTTAAAACTAAAAGATTACAACAAGCGCCAAAATGTGCTCAAAGTGATAATTATATGCAAATGATATCAAGTAAACAGAATTTTCAGAACACTAGGAAATGATGTCATGTAAATAAACAAAGCATCTTGTTGCATTTTTCACTTCTGACACCAGTTGTTACCGTTTTTCTTCCTGCACGTTCGTACGGGGTTCGTGTGGATTTGGAGTGAATAACGACGACAGCACTTGAATATCGAAACACACTTTATTTTAGCCACTGTTAATGAGGACAGCTCCAAAGTCACTTTTTACAGTCGTCGAAGATCTACTATACACTCATTGGAACAATCAGCGACACAACCTTCAGGTTATCAGGCTATCATGGTGAACATAGCTTCACTACAAAGCACCAGAGTACTCTCCCGACTCTGCTCAGTCCCGACTCTGTTCGGTCCTTCTCGGAACCCCACGTACTCTCGAGAGACTCTCCACGCTACAACTTGCGATGCACTCGACGACACATAGAGCACAGCTCCTGACTGTTCGGTTCCTAACCGCTATACATTAAGAGACTCTTCGATGCATTCGACGACCCACTCGGCACTCGCTGCCCGGCTGTCAACTCAACTCGATCGACTCCGCAAGGGCTGACGAACTCGAGACTAGTTAGTCTCTAGCACTCTAGACGAGGCACTCACTAACTGACTGCGGACCAGCAGAGCTTTCGGCTTGTGTTCGAGAACATTCTGGGCTAAACCGGTAAGAATTCGTTCCAGAAAGTTCTCCATCCGTCCATGGCATATCGCCAATTTGTCGCCAAATAGGCGATTTCTCGCCAAATGTGGCGATTTTGCCTTCCTTTGCCGTTTTATGGCAACCCTAAAACTTCTTTGCGGGGAAGCCATCTTACCGCGCCTGTACATTTCGTAACAGTATCTATATAAATTTGATTTCTGGTTGGTAGCTAAATTACCTTAATTTGCAAATTCTAATTAACAAATATTAACTCTATAAGGGACCAGATCCAGGTTAGTCTTTCGGAGGTATTCTTAATCTTGTGCGGCACGAGCTGTTTTATTAAACAAATCATGCTCACTTTAGTAGAAGTTTGATAATTTAGGGTATAAGTTATTTCTTCCGCCATCTTGATGTGCTGGTCTGCATACTGGGCGCGTATTCCAGAAGTCCGTGGTTCGATTCCCGGCGAAGACTTGCTCATTTTTCATCTCCCCTGCTTCCAATTAAAGTAACGTCTCTACAGTGACGCCCGAACTAAAAGGATGGTTAAGACACAATAACACGCCGAATAAATACTAATTCAGAAGTCAAACAACAAAAATCAGCGTTAATTTACAAAATTAAAAAAATAGGTATAATTTTGTAAATTAACGCTGATTTTTGTTGTTTGACTTCTGAATTAGTAAAAGGATGGTGTATGATGATTTCCCAGACCCAGGATTTGGCAATTGGGTCCCCTAAAATCCCCAGTCGCCCATTAAAAGGGGGAGAATGAAGGTATTTCTCCCGCCTTCTTAGCGTGCCTACGGGGTGTAGTGGTCTATATGCTGGGCGCGTATTCCAGAGGTCCGTGACTCGATTCCCGGCGAAGGCGGTGCTAATTTTTCATCTCTCCTGCTTCGAATTAACCTAATGTCTCCACAAGGGAAAATCAGTGGTTTGTACCATTTCAACTGAAAGTGACCCAGCTGTACGAATTATCAATTACGTCATAGATTCGTTTCGCTCGTATTTACTTCTAGGTATAATTATACGCTTTTTGTGGACGTTGTTGAAGTGTTAAGTACACCTTTTTATATCCATATTAGTCCTATTACTGACATGATTTCTTTTCTCATTTTGAAGGAGAAAAAAAAAAAAAAAAACACTGGTTTCTTTTAGTGCATCAATAGTGTTTTAAAAGTGAGCGATGCATTACTGTTGAATTATGCCTTGACAAATCAACGATTTTCTTTAATGATGTAAATAGTAAATTATTATTCGGTGAATCTGTTGAAAGTTTGAAACATGCAATTCTAGCACTTTAAAAGGAAATAATAATGCAGAAAAACTAATTTAGATTTGTTCTTGAGAGTACGTAACGTTGTACGATGTATGTTATCTTACCTCTAACTACGGGTAACACGGTGCGAAAATAATATCAGACCATTTTCCTGGTCCTAAAACTGTATCCAGATAGAGTTAAGAATTCCGCATGCGACCTGAATACTTAGATCTGCGTAAAATTCGTTGTCAGAGATGCAACATATCGACGTTACGTGACCATATTATAAGTGGCTATGTGACTAGAATGCTCACCTGTTCCTGAATTTGATTTCGGTATTTGAAATAATCAATATTCCCTTCCATTCGTATTACAAATTTAACCCCTATGGCCTAAAGTGTTTTTTTCGGCGTGATCGATTTTTGACACTCTGAATTGATATTATAAATTTTGCATTGAGTGTTTGTTGCAGAAGACGTGTGTTTAAGCATGCGATGAAATCATACCATATTATTTTAAATTACATTGATACCATATACAGTGCATACATACGCAAATGAATACATATTTCTGCTTTAACAGCGTTATTCTCGCATCCAATGATAAATTATGAAGTATTTATTGAAAATTATTACTATCTATCTATAAAACAAACCAAAGGCTAAATTCTTCCTTCAATAAGTTGAAGTGCTACTTAACACTTTCACAGTACATTCACCAATTTTACATTTAAATAAACACAAACTAAATACATGTCATTTGTAAACAGTTTTGACTTGCGGCGAAGTGAAAACTGAATTAATAGAATGAGAAATATATCTCTCAGGAAATTCGAAGAAATAAGTTTAAATGAAATGCAGCTAGTTACCAAGAAATATAGGGAAGAAAGTCTGAATATATTCGTTGGCTTAAAATATTCTGCTTCAGACCCTGTTGTATACCTATCCGCCTGTTGAAAGAACGCAGTACGTATAATTTAGCAAATGAAATATATTAGAATTATAAATTATTATTATAATTCTAATTTTAAATTTCAAAATATAACGAATAACGTTCCTTTTATGAGTTGGTTAGGAAATTTCTCATAATGGGATAAATTATCAGTAATATTTTATTCAAATTTATTAATTTTGATGAAAAAGGCGTTCACCTTGTAATCGTTAACCGAGAGAAAAATCTAATCTTTGGCGGTAAGTAATTGAGCTATAATGGAAACTTACGAAACTTTTTCGTGAAGAATATCATCAATAAAATCTACCAGGAATCTTTAGTCAGTCATATCAGCTGGAAGAGTACCTTATTATATCCGCTTATCATTAAAAGTACTTTTATGTTTAACCTACGTAATAGCGAACTTAATTATGGTCATAAGTTTCTTTATGTTTAATATTTAAAGGCAATATTATTCGACAGCTATAATAAAACGGAATATCGCGTGCTCACTTTCTTTGGATTTAATGGAACGGATTGAATATTAAGTTCTTTTGTTAAAAATAGAACTGCGTTAATTTATCTTTATTTTATATTTTTGCTTGAAAGTTTCTTTTAGTGTATCATATGTATATTATTCCTTTTCTTTCAGCTGAATTTCGTGTTTCTGGTTAACATTGTAAGAGTTTTGGTGACAAAATTAAGAGCTGTCAACTCGCCAGATACCCATCAAACTAGGTATGTGTTTAATATTTGTTTTAATATGTATATATAAAATGATTGTGTGTGTGTGAGTGTGTGTGAACCTTCATTAGTACTGTTACGAATCTTGTATTTAGAGAGCTAATGTTAGTAGAATTATAATTAAAATTGTTTTATTTCCCCGTGCAATGCAGCTTAGGACGAGTTTTAAGAGTCAGTTATGCAGGAAACGTAAAAATATACAGAAGCACATGCATTTAACATTGACTAAAAGTTTATCTCGGTAATTTATATTTAAATTGAATAAATGTAATTGACTACTGCATTAGCTGTAACCCTAATTCCATCCTCTTGTTCTTGTTGGTTTCCAGAAAACTCGAAAAGCAAAGAAATGACTAGAACTCTCTCGCGACCGATTGAAAGTAAAAAGCCGGAGAGAGACATCTCAGCTCAGTTGTTTAGTTAGCTGCTGTTGCTACTGTTGATTGGATTAGTTTCCTCTGTGCTGTGCTTTGAGTTGTATTTTAAGGGGACTCATACACCTTAAAACCCATAAGATGTTCGAATAGGTGACTGTTGCAAGAATTGGGATAACTTATTTATTTTACAAGCAATTACTACCAACATTTTACAGCTGACTACATAATATAGCTGCTTTCTGAAATAGTAATCAGAAAGTTTGTGTTGCCACAAATATTAGTATAATTTAATCCGCTTTCTGACAACATTTTTCGTCATGTTTCCAACTTGCGCGCACAGTTTAAACATTCTGTTTCATAATTTAATTCCATATTTAATATATATTTTTTATAACATTTGGAAACTACTGTGAACCTAAAATTCTAAAAATTTCATGTTAAATTTTTATTTGATTTTGAGTTGAGTTTATAAAATGTATTTTATTTTTAAAAAATTTAATGTTTTCTTCCATAAAATTTTTCAATATTAAAATATTCATCAGATTGTTGGTTCAGTTAGAAAATAGTGCCCATATAAAGAATTTCATCAAATTTCAAGTATGTACCATTAGCCATTTTTAAAATATCATGCGCGCAAGGTGGAAAAACTGCGAAATATTTTGTCACAAAGAAGATTACATTACAAAAATATTTGTGGCAACACAAACTTTCTGGTTACTAGTTTCCAAAGCAGCTATATTATGTAATCAGCTGTAAAAAGTTGGAAGTAATTGCTATTAAAATAAATAAAGTATTCCAATTCTTGCAACAGTCACATATTCGAAGATCATGAGGGGTTTAAGGTGTATGAGTCCCCTTAACGTTTTTAGTAGTTTGGTGTATAACTAGTGAATATATTGCGTGGTACGAATATCTCTGAGGAAACTTCCAGCGTTTTGTTATATTTCTTGTGATAAAAATAAATTGCATTAACCTTTTATCGGGGTTGTGCATTCAATCTATTACGAACCCGTACGGACGCAATAGTACAATAAAATTTTATGAAGACTAGTGAAGATAATCTTTTAAACGTAATGAAATCTGAATTCAGAGCAAGGTTGTACTGCTGTCAAGATACGTGAGCCCATTGTATGTCTAATCATTGGTCATGAAAAAAGAAATCATTAATTTTATCCAGGTTCTTTTACAGTTTGCTTAACTAATTAATTATTCATTGAGTAAATTAAAAATTATTGCCTTGAAACCTTCAGATACAAAAGTGGAATTATTGCAAAATTTCGGTGAACAAAGAGTATGTTCGGATGCTAACAATTATCTTTCCATTCTTTTAATTAAAACCGAAAATAGGAAATGAAATGTTTAAATAAATCATTCATTTAAAATATTTTGCATTGCTGCATTCTGTTTAATAGAAGTATAATTAAGGTATAATCTATGTAATTGCCAGAAAATTTCTAATTGAAACTTCTTAGGGTTTGTAAATTACAGCTTTTGAATTCGAATCAGTTGTGGGAAACTATGAGAAAATTAATGTTTACCCTCACTTAGTGGACTCCATTTTAAAATGTGGTGAAGACTTTAGTATAAAATTTTGCTCGGCTTTGTAAATCTGCATGTTCTTATCCCCTTCTCAAATTTGTTCTCTTTAAAATTATGTAAACTTATATTTGCTCAGTCGAATATGGCTAAGCACGCGAAGATTTTTCTGCGTAAGAGGAAAGTTGCCTTTTGTGGAGGAATTTCCGAAAGAATTGGCTTGTATTAACATTCACAACACATTTTATAACATAATGCTTCCATTTTATAATAATGAATGTTTAAAAGAACTATTATATGTAAACATATTAAGTATTTATTATACATTTAATTTTTAAAGATTTTTAATCTTATTTTACTAATTTTATTTAATAATTTATTAATGTTATTAATTTTTCCAAATTGTTCTAAAATTTCCAAGTGTATTTTCGAATTGTATTGGATTATTTAATTATGGCAAAGTAAACGAGGGCTATCTGCCTAAAGGGAGGCATGCCTTCGTGGAGAATTTTTTAAGGGAAACTGGCTCGTATACACGTTACACATGTGGAAAATCACGAAAACGCCCATGCAACCAGCCCGTCCGCGGGATTCGAACCTCGGACCGAACTACCAGGGTTCAGCGTCTTTACGGCTCGGCCGAAGTGTATTTTCGAAAAATTCGCATGTAAATTTAATTTTTAAAGATTTTTAATCTTATTTTACTAATTTTATTTAATAATTTATTAATGTTATTAATTTTTCCAAATTGTTCTAAAATTTCCAAGTGTATTTTCGAATTGTATTGGATTATTTAATTATGGCAAAGCAAACGAGGGCTATCTGCCTAAAGGGAGGCATGCCTTCGTGGAGAACTTTTTAAGGGAAACTGGCTCGTATACACGTTACACATGTGGAAAATCACGAAAACGCCCATGCAGCCAGCCCGTCAGCGGGATTCGAACCTCGGACCGAACTACCAGGGTTCAGCGTCTTTACGGCTCGGCCGAAGTGTATTTTCGAAAAATTCGCATGTAAATTTAATTCGTATATCAGCAATTCAACCCCGATACTCTATACTTGAAATATGAACTGTGGTTCAAATTAACAAATTTAAATTTATTCTTAATTGAAGTTTTTAGAAAACAACTTTTCATCGAAGTACCAGATATATCGAATTATCCGATTTTAGATTAACGAAAACTCATTACATTTGTTTTTATGTTAACTTGTACTTTTAATCGATGTATGTAATGTTTCTATATACATGTCTGACTGTAAAAATGTAAAAATAATATATTATTTCTTGTTTAATGGCTAGCACACAGAGGGCTAGTAAAATAATGAGATTTTATTTTTCTAATGCTTGTAAAATTGAAAATAACACTGAAATTCGAAACGTCACTTATCACCTAGCTTAGCAATAGATTTTTAACATTAGTATATTACAGATTTTTAATATTAGAAACTCTTCGGATGATTTTTAGCACTGCGTTTTGTATCTTTCTGTCAAATACTTTTATTTCATACTGCTTACAGCAATTTCTGAATGCATACTGATCGGTGTGAAATGCGTGTAGTCGACCATTGCACCAATTCGATTTATCAATCTATGACTATTTATTGTTGCAAAGCTAAAACTGCCTCTGAAATGAAATTTTTTTCCCTGATATTGAAGAAAATTTAAAGAATTTGACATTCAATTTAAAAGCCATACATAAAAATTAAAAAACACTTCTTCAAGATTTTCTTTTTATTACTTAACAGTGACACTGGTTTTAAACGTTGGATCACTTTTCGAGTATTATACATTAACGCTTGCGTCCTATTCGGTAACCGGCGACACATCACTAACATATCATCTGTAACAACCTCTGTTACTGCCGCAACGAATTTAACCTTTCTTTCTCTAAGAATAATACAACTAAGAATAAATATAGTCTAAATGACATATCATCGATTTTTTTAGTAACATCCAGTATTATTTTAGTAACATCCAGTATAAATTAGTAACATCCAGTATGAAACTAATTTCTTGTTAATCCTAACTTTCGATAAGTTTTTTTAGTTTAATTGAATATCATATGAACAGTAGCAATAAATTATCTCAAAATATTTAAGACATATTTCAAATATTCAAGCATTCTAATAAATGCTTGAATATTTGAAATATGTCTTAAATCACTCTGTTAAAAATCTTTGAAACAATTTCAAATTACTCTTTAGCGCAATGTAAAATCTGAAAGCTTTCAGATTTTTAGCCCAAAGGGCGTTAGGCCAGAAGGGCTGTTAATTTCGTTTTGGCATTTTGCGTTGAAAACTTTAAATGTCGGTTCACTTTTAAATTTTTTTAATCCAGAAGCCCAGAAGGGCTATTAATTTCGTTTTGGCATTTTGCTTTGGTTAACTATAGATGTCGGCTTACTTTTCAAATTGTTGCCACCAAATATTAGAGCCCTGTGTAATATTTAAAGAAATTAAATAATAAAGAATCTTCATAAAATGTATATATGTTTTTCGCATTGTGATAAAACAACGGTACCTAGAGCCATCCAATTTTGAATAACGTAATCTTCCAACGAATATAGGCATCTGAAAGCCCGAATTTGAAATTTGTTTTATTATCGATTTCATATTTTGTAACACTTTAACGAATTTTTAATTAACAAACTCAATGATTTCAAAGCGAGCAATTGCAATACTGTACGGGAAAAAAACATTTGTATCTCCAGCGCGCAAGACTGTGTATCGGAAATTCTAAAGATATGCTCATTTTTAAAATTACTTTGCAATATTGCTGTTGAATTGAATTTTATGGTTTAAGTGCGAAGGACATGGTATTTAATAAATAAAGGCAACACACAAAACGTTTAGAAAACGTCCCTTTGGGCGTAATGTAAAATCTGTACGTTTTCAGGTTTTTTTTAATTTTTTAAAAATTTTATTACCATATCAATTAATATATTTTAGTAAGTATATAACTCTTAACTAAATTGACATAAGGAGAAGATTTAAGTGATTAAAAACATTTAGTAGAAGTGAGAAAAATTTGAAGCATTTCAGTTAGAAAGTACTCCAAGCTACTACCAAATTAAAAATTTT